AGAACATTTTCCAGCTCCATCCATGTGAACATGAAGGACGTAAAGTTTCCATCTTTCTTTATGGCTGCTTTCCATGCCTGATTTATTTTACTTAGATTGCCGGGACTTATTATTGCAGTTAAGATTTTTATGATGACTTTATTTCTATTCTTTTTGTTGTAGATGAAGGGCAACTGAATTAGAGGCCAAACAGAAGTAAATACTCATCATTGTTTGTGTTTCTGCTCTAGTATTGGTAAAAAGGAATAAATTTTAACTTAGCAGGGTAAATATATATGAGAAAATAGTGCTGATTTTGAGATGCGCAGTGCCGGTTAACAACTGAAGTTATGCACCCTTCTCAGAAGCTTTTAAAGACGAAATACACATCAGGCTTTCTGATTTGCCTCCCAATGCCAACCACTGGACATCTGTGATTTGCTTCTTATGTCAGATGCTACATAAATTCTGGGGTTTTAAGAGTTAGATAGTGAGGACTGATGCGAGGGGTTGAGTCCCCGCCTCAGAGACCTCACCTTCTCGCGCACACACGCGGATCACAGCGTTCCCTGCATGGTGCTGTTCTTTTTCCTCCTTCCCTTCTGTATTTCCAAACGCAAACTGTTTTCATTTCAGTATTCCACGAATGGCTTCACAACACATGCCGTGGGCGCCTGTGCTCCGGGAATTTGTGGTACCGCAGGATCAGGAGTCAAAAGTGGAGGGCAGGAAACCATCGAACTCGTGAAGGGAGGGCAGCAGACCCTGGAGCCCTGCCAGGGAGCTGGGCACCATCACACCCTGGATTCCCGAAGGGGAGGACACGTGGAGGTGGACAACTGCAGATACACTTACTCCGAGTGGCACAATTACACCCAGCCCCGTCTCGGTGAAGTGAGTTTCCCTAAGTGTCCTACAAAGACGTTTTGGTTTCCTTTAAACTTTATAAACGATCCCAGTTTACTGTTTATGTTGACCTTTATTTTTAATTAATTATGGATCTGCTAATTGGTAAAATGATGATTTTTCCTTAATTTCCATGGAATTATGCTCATATTTAAGCAGTTATTTGCTTTTTTTCCTATTTTGTTTGGCTTTTAATATTCTTACTGAAATAATATCTGATGGTATTTAAATGATGCTTTCATGACTTTGTGCTAACATTTCCCATCTGGGAAGTCATGTCTTAGAAACTCAAAGGGTGGTACAAGCAATACCAGCTTTACCATCCCTGGGCCTTCTGCAGAAAATCTGAGTCATGTCAGTTTGGGTTCAGCTTAATGGATGCGTTTCACTCTCGGCCTTAATTTTGAAAGGGAAGGTAATGGGCTACATAAAATGAATGCTTGTATACCTGCTGTCGCCTGTGTGACTTTTAGAAACATGCTATGGACTGCATTTGTAGTGTGATTTATGATAGAGACCAATCATGTGCATTTTTTATGTGTAGGAATCCATTAGAGGACACACACTGGTTAAAAATTAAACAATGAAAGGTAAATCCAAGCAATCATTTTTATGTTAATAAGCTTTGGTGTTTAAAATAATAATAATAAAAAATGTTGTGGTTTTCCCCTTGACAGAAGGTGCATTTGTGTAATCAAGATGACAGTCACAAGCACGCTCCAGACTACGTCCTGACCTACAGCTATGAAGGGAAAGGGTCAGCGGCCGGCTCTGTAGGCTGTTGCAGTGAAGGCCAAGAGGAAGATGGGCTGGAATTTTTGGATCATTTGGAACCCAAATTTAGGACCCTAGCAGAAGCATGCCTAAAAAGATGAGCGTGTTCTAAACAGTCTACAAAAGACAGTGGCTTCATCATCTTTTCTTTTTGTAATTACAAACCGGGATTGCTTAAAAACAGAAGAT